CCTCTTGCGTTTTTAGTTTTGACATTACTACGATATTAAAATAAAAATAAATTTGTCAGGAGCGGGATTTGAACCCACGCCTCCATTTGGAGACCAGAATTCTCTATTTAGATTAGGATTTAGACCCTTGAGTCTGGCGCCTTAGACCACTCGGCCATCCTGACACAACAAGATGTAACAATAAAACAATTTTAACTAAAAGTCTTCAATTATTGAAACATTTTAAGTGTCCTACACCTCTTGTGTTTTTAGTTTTGACATTACTACGAATTTAATGAAACACAAGAGCAGGGGTACTCACACTTTTTCAGCTTGCGAGCTACTTTTAAAATGACAGAGTCAAAGTGATCTACCCGCTACAAAAATGTAAAACATCAATCAACAAACAATTATTTTCAACTTTATTGAGATTTGACAAATCACACATAATAATTAACTATTTACATTTTTTGTAATAACGTGAGTTTAATTTGATGACTTGCACTGAATTGAATCATTAGAACAGTTGTGTGTGACCTGAATTTGATGGTAGTAGAGTGATTTTTATGGGAGCTATTGAGCTTTGATCCAAATAATTAAGAATAAAAATGATGCTCTAATAAATATTTACATTTTTTATTGAAACTGAGTCGTGCAGTACAATATGCAGGTGAGGAGTGGCGTGTTGCTTGATTTTGGTTGTAATAGAGTAATTTAGAATGAAGTTATGAAGCATATTCTGGGTAAAACATCTTTTGGATCTGGTCATTTGCAGACAGTCTCTAAGCGATTCCACGTCAGCGAGTTGCTCATAGACGGTAATGTGTTTCTGCGAATGCAGAGGGAAACTTGTTTTGATAAAAAACGTTTTGTAGTTTGTCCGCTACATAACACAGATTAAAAATAGGAATTATTTGTTTACTAAGAACATTCTGGTCTCGAGCTATTGAGCAGAGAAAACTGAATCCGTGAATCTGCAGCTAACTTTACTGAACTGTGACGGGATGATCGACGTAATGAGCACCCCTGCTCTAAAGAGATGATGAGGGGAAATGAATGGATTGGTATTATGGCAGGAACAAAACGAATGCAATGGAGTAAAGCATGCATCTGCCCCTCTCCCAATAAATGAGTGAGTATACTCCTAGGAAAGGAGTCACAGGAAAAGAAGTTTAAAAGTGTTAAGATTATTGATCTTTGATGGTTACAAAGTATTGGAACTGCACGGTTTATAGTATATGTGTGTATATATAGTATATTTGTATATATAGTATATGCGTATATAGTATATGCGTATATATAGTATATGCGTATATAGTATAT